GAAGGTTTCAGTTCATCTGGTCAAGGGGAATAAATATGGGGATTGGCTGTCACTTGGGGTTGGAAAAGAGAGCACACTGTTGGCAAGCTGTCTTCTACACACGGTGTTCCGGTAACCTTCAATTAAAACCCCGCCCCTGCACTGCCAAAATTGTTACACAAGTCTGCAACTTTCCCAGGCTCTATTGCTAGTTTGCGCGGATGAAACCAGAAATTTTCAGAATCATGTTCCAACCCTAAATAAAGCTCATACGAGTAAATGGTTGGTATACATAAAATGCATATGGTAACTGTGAACAATGGATTCGGGTTCACCTTGGACAATCGAAATCTCGTTTGTTTTCTGGGTTATCGCGATCACTATGGAGATGTTGTACAATATCGAGCTGTCCCCACCATTCGATATTAAGGAGGAGCCCACAAATATGAAGTACCATTGGGAAGAGTTTTGGGGTTCTGCGGGATAGATATTTTGTATAGTCACACCACTCTCGTTTGAACGGTCGTCCTCCTGTTCTGGCGTAATAATCCCAGTGAATTCACACTTTGAACAAAATACCTATCCCGCGATACAGGGATACGCTTATTTCTGCTTGTGCCGGCACGTTCGACAGAAGTCATTGGTTAGTCCAGTGAGTGTGTTTTCGATGTTTCCCTCATTGAATGCGCCACACATGTTAAGATTCTAGCACCGAAAGAGCACAGTGCAAACCAGGTGTTATGAGAGACAGTCTTCCGAAACATGTGCATGCCCATTTGACCTAATCAACTTGCAATAGGTTTTACTGAATTAAAACGGTAAATTTGAATTTGGCGAGTTTATGGTTTATTTTCCTGTTTTCACGCCAAAAATGTTGAATATTTATGAACCTCATTCGGAGTCTCGTGTTAAAAATGCCCGCGGAACTTACTGTGAGGACTTTAACACAGCAATATCTGCTTTTGATGAAACACACACTTTAACCTTGGGATGGATGAACAGACAGTCGGACTCGGATAATTATAACGTGGGACTACGAAACGAAATCAAAAGACTTCCAGTACGGAAGGTAAGCAGTATGAACAATGACCATTATTCATTTTGATCAATCACGGGAATATCACTATTACCACAACTTTTCGATTCTTCATTTTTTTCACCTGCGAGGATTTTATGAAAGGCTCCATGGTATTTTAATAACAAATAGAACCACAATTTTGTTTATATGCACTGCAACAGCGTTTTCGACTGTTTGCTCCATTTGCACTCCGTCTTCGCCTAAGGTGTAACGTTTTTTAAGTACATTCCCTGGCGGCTTACGTGGTCTCTACATGCATCTGATAAGAGTGTTATTGACACAAATCGGTGATACCTAAAGTAGAAAACGAGGTATTTATCATGCAGGTTCAATTTGTATGGGACGAACTAAAGAGAAATTCTTTACGAGTTTGTGGAAATAGCATCAAACCAATCACGGCTTGTATCGCAAATTCATACAAATCTTATCGTCATTTCTCCGCTTGCAAACTGCACCCGTGCAATAAATAATTCGTTTTCGAACGTATAGTTATACAACTTCGTTTTGTAGCTCTTTGGGTGTTACCAATTTGTGTCAAGAACACTTGCAACACATGTACGTATGAACCGTGACACCTTAGGCAAAGACGGCGTACAAGTGGATCAAACACTTAAAAACGCTGTGCCAGTGCGCATAAACCAAGGTAGGAGTAAATCCTACGAAAGCTTTCATTAACTCCCTGCAGGTCACAAAAATGAAAATTCAAAATGTTATGTGATAGTTTTATTCGCCAATGAGAGAATTCCTCTTATAGGCCACTACATAGGTTGTGCGTTTCGTTCGCAATAGGCATTCGCAAATTACATTGATGTCAACTAGGGACTCAGAAGGATCTCTCGTCTATGATATTGTTCATTTATGTCAACCACCCCCTACTATAAACATAAGAGAAGCTTATCATCTGCATGAGTCGATTCAACTTGATCAGCACTGGTGCGAATTTCCTGTGACGATCCAACGAATTCTATGTAATTTATTCAACAACCGCCAACATATGTGCCGCTTTTCTGTGTCAGAAAAATAAACGCAGACCAGATCAAACGCGCCCGACTGCTGGAGTAAAATGACTACATGTAACAACCGAGAATAAAGGGATCTTCTGGAAGAGATTGTGATCCATGGGATTGAATGTTTTTGATGTGCATAAAGGTCCGGGTTACGCTAAGCTTGTAGAAAATGCATGCACGGTATGTGCACAAAAATTTGTTTAAAAATATGTCCGAAGAATAAAAGTGAATAAATACAGGCTTATTAAACCGAAACAGGTCAGCAAAAATGAATACTAACATTCCATTTTTTGGGGTGGGGGGAAGTGAAACTTCGTTAGCCGTAAAGGGAGCTGTTTACGTGTTTAATGGAACTGCAACATTTAAGCGTTTCTTGCAGGTAATATTCCGATGCTAGAAACCCGCGATATGATATAAAATTTGGTGCTGAGTAACCCTCCTGAAAATTTACAAGATTGATCTTGTGTTACTGGGAAATGTCACTGAACAGTCAGTGTGGCTAATGCATCCGATGTCAAATTAATGGCTTTTATTCATCTACTATTGTTGTTGACGCCAAAAACTGAACGGCACTGGCTTATCATAAGCTGCTAAAAACAAAAGCTAGGAAGATTTCAGGTGGGACAAGAGAAAAATCGAGCCTTGAATCTGTTTGCTTATAGCCACTACGTCGAATCTAACAGAGTACTTCAAAGAAATCAGGCCAAGAAATCTCGAAAATATTATTAAACTTTTACATGGATTTATTAAGAACAAAGTATAAGCACCAGAGAACTGTGGAAAATTTACGAAACGTGTTCATTAGTCATAACATATAACGTATCTATGTAGTTCGTTGTGATCCATGTTCTCTCGGAGGGGAAATGCTGATCGTGCATAGTCTCCATTGGCATACCAACTATTTCGGTACCCAAGAATATGTGCCTAAGAAGTGTCGCTTAATTTAGCCTCAGCAACCCTGTGCATCATCAACAAACCTTTTTTTTCAATGACGGTAGGTTTAATCTGGCCGGTCATCCTTAGGGTAACGGGACAACGATAGGCTAGGTTACTCGCAAACCCACCGCTTACTATCAGCGATGGATTTGACTTCTCTGGTACTTCTGACACAAGCACTATTTTGTTATTGAATTTTGTTTTAGTATTCTACTTTTAGAAGTCTTTTATAGAACACTGTTCGTTCAAGGGTTCATCCTGTTTATAGCAAGCCAAAATAAAAATATTGTTGCAGAAGTTTTGTCAAGGATAATTTAACTCAAATAAGACCATCTAAGTGGATAGTGTAAACATTTGTTATAACACCTTTACACATCAGTCTATTGGTATTATATCACCAATACTATCCGGTAACATATAGGGAGTGTGATTTTTGTCGACTAAATGGAAAAATAAGAGTGGCCTTACGGGCATGTAAATTTTGCACACATTTTTACACTTTAACAATAAATTTTTAATATTATGTTTTCAGTCTGACTGAAGTCATTTTGCCCGTTTAATGTGTCAAGCTGGGTTCAAAACAAGAACCAAGTTTTGGGTTTTACATCAAACAGAAGGACTAAAAAATCGCAAATTCGACGTCCTAATACATGTTCGGAGTAACAAAATCACAGACCGCAAAACGTTACCTCAAGTTATCTGCGAGAAAACTCCCAGAAGCGTCACGGCTTAGGCTGGGTCATACAAAACTGGAGGGATCTTGGATTTCGGCACTATTTCAGCAGAAGCCTTCCAAACTTTCTTCAGATCACTGTGTATCCAAAACATAAAAATTCAGGCTTGGCTTACTTTTAAGAGACACTCCAGTACCTATTGTTTTGCAAAACATAGACGATTTTAATGAAACAGATTTTAGAGTCTGTGGTCAAGCATCTCTTCATAAAGTTTTTCCAAAAACTGCCACATCTCCCGGAACAAGTTTTTCTACCTTTTGTGCCTTGGATTATTTAGCTAGTTGCTGAGACTTAAAGGTACTCTTTCCTTAATCGGGGTGGCGGTTAAACTAGAATGTAGACGCTCTTTTTCCTTCTCCAAAAACGTTAAAGTGAAAGCATATAAAAAGTTTTACGAATCCCTTTCAATAGCTAGACCATTTATAACTCATTCCGCTTCCACATAATCTTTTGAGTTTTCCAAAGTCTAAAAAACTTCTATTCCGTCTTTTATTCTGTCAATAAATGGACAATCATTTTAGCACTAGTTTTGGTAGGCAAATAATGTTTTTTCTTGAGTTTGCTACGTCCAGACAAATAGAACAGGGAGTAGAGCCAGTGGAATTTTCATCGCTGACCTTAGTGAAACAACAATTGGGCCAAAAACTTGCTGTCGTGAAAAACGTGTTCCACCAAGTGATATAGGAGCTTCAACACCATTAAAAGGCAGATTTTGTTTACAAAAATGTTCGTCCGTTAGTTTGAAGCTCATTGCAGGCTACTTTCATATTCTTTCATCCATTTTACCTTACAGCGTTTTTATTCTTGCAGTAATCGAATCGGCCATTTTTCATGTATTTTGCAAGTGATACTGTAGTTGTTGTCTTTTTCCACCTTTTTGGAGAATTGCCTAATCAACAAACAACTAGAGACATTTAGTGCGTGTAAATATATTCAATGGCGTGGCTGGCTTGTGTAAGCTATACTTCACGCGATTATCTCCATTAGAAATGCCAAACTCGGAGAAGATAATATTAGTCAGAAAAAAGAATTTAGTACTGTCTTTTCATCCATTGCTTCTATCCGACACCAAGTACATAGGATCCAGGGCATTACGCACACTAAGTTATAAAGCCCTTTGGAGAACCCTAATCAGCACAAGCTTGCTAAATTACCCTATTGCACCCAGCCAGCCATATTGGAAATTTGAGTTGTGTGTATCTACGCAAGTTCGTGGGTCGATTTCGCTGCCTTGGTCTGATTTTCTCAACAATACAGAGCATACAGACATCAAGATCTTCATAAGACTAGTTGCTGCATTCACGGTAAAGAAGTAACAAGGTTCATTCTTCACTCATTTACATACGAAAGGTTGCATGCTAACTTCAGTCTCCTAGCCAATCGCACTGGAACACACAAATCTTCCCAATGCCACGAGCACAGAAGACGTTCGTGGGCACACAGTAAACCTCGCAAATTTACAAACTTTGGTTACAGACTCCGTTTCCTTTGTTTTAGACAGTTTCTTACCCATGACACTTGCTCTGCTAGCTGAAGTAATGCCACCAAACGACAACAAATCTATCACTTCCAAAACGTCTATCTTAGGATGAAGAATCTTCTAGTTAAATTCCACGTGGAGTGGAGTGCTCAAGAATGTGAGAAAATATGAATAGCATTTCAATTGTACAATACAGTTGATGGATCTAGTGTAGATGTCAGAATGTGCACAAAGTGTCCACAATGCACCAGTGTACAGACCGTACTTTCACCTTTAACCTTAGTGGTCCTGAAAAGATGGTGCACAGTATGAGTGTGCAAAACTATTTTTACCCAATCTTCGGCAACAAAATTTCAGTTGCAGCCACATTCTACTTTAGTAAGGGTGGTGATAATATATTTTATTATAAAAGGCTATGATGATTCTAAATTCAGATACAATGAACACAAAATTAGCGACTGATTCTGCACCATTTTTTAACCTTTTATAAGAAGACTCCAATTTCAGCTGCCACAAATAGTTTATCTTTTCGCATGTAAAGCAGCATTAAATGTGCAGGCTCCTCATTATAATTTTGTCTTTTTCTGTAAAAACTGTAAGTTTGAAAACATCAAACTTTCATTAAGCTGCTGGCCCATTTTTTGCACGACATTAGCTTCGTTAAGGGATGTACCTTAACCATGGATCTATCTTTCTGGGTACTGCTGAAATGATGAAAAGCTGTACAACGCTAGAGGAATGCAAAAAAGTTTCCCACTATACTTGATCAAGAACTGACACTTTCCGCTTAGAAGAATTCCGGATATGTCTTTGATTTTCAAGCACTGTACTCGA